TCGTACCCAGGCCATTGAGGTTGTGTTTCCTGAGAAAGTTTCTCATGAAATAATCTCTGCAGACGTGTGGCTAACACAGCCAGAAGCGGCGGAGCCTGGTCTCCCTGCAAAACCAGGTTTGTCCCGGTTAGAAACACCCTCCGGCAGCGAGGGGCTGGCGTGGCAAGAAACGCTCTCTCCCCGCTCCTGCGCCTGGGAGGGACTCGAGCAGGCTGCTTTTTTAAAAATTATTATTTATTTATTTTATTTTTTCAAATAGGCTGTTTTCCATTCCCCAAAACGCTGTTTTTCTCACAAGCAAGCCCAGCCCCTCCCCTCGGAGGCGAGGCACCGCTGGCTGAGCGCTGGCTGCGTGGTCAGGGTGCCCCCCTTGTCCCACACCCCGCTCTCCTGGCGAGGAGTTTGGAGGTTTTCTTGATGTTTTCTTGCAGCAGGGAATGCAGCAAGGAGGGCTGGGGAGGTGGGGAGGGCAGCAGTGCCTTCCAGAGACAACTTGGCCTTGACACCAAGAGCCTCCACCTGCTGCCTTCTCCCTGGGGGTGCACGGTGAAGTTCTTGGGGGGGTCCCCACCTCTGGGAGGTGTAGGGCGTATTGCTGCATGGGGGTGAGAGCTGTCAAATGCGGCCTCATTTCAGGCCTCTTCACCTTGTTTCTGGGTATAATGCTGACCAAGGGAGAGCTGAGGAGCTGTGACGACAGCGGTGTTAATTGATACCTGATGCGTGACCGGCTGCAAGATGAACGTGGGACAGTCCTGGGGTATTTTCTTTCTTAACCGCTTCCTCCACCCTTAAAATGGCAAGACGGAGGCGGGTAGGCTCTTCTCTGAAGTGTTGTTCCTTCCGAGTTAACCGTGCTTGTCCTGGGGCTTTTCCTTCTCTTCTGGTCTTAATTTCCTGCAATTCTTGTCGCTGAAGCTGCCGGGTGTGGATGTGAGGGAGGAAGGGTCTCCTGGGCGGCAGGAAGGATGCAGGGGGGCTCTACACAGCTGCTGCTCCCCAGCAAGCTCGCTCGCTCACCCCAGTGTGCGTTTGCAAACCAGTTTATCTTTTATAAACAGGCATTTTGCTCTCAAGAGGAATAGCCCATCCATTTGGTTTCCCTGTTAGGACTTGTGGTGCCTTACCATACCCCTCGGGGGGAGCCCGATGCCTGCTCCTGGTGAGCACTGGGGGGGATGCTCTAGCTCCTCCCAAGGAGGGGTGCTTGTGAGTTGGGACCTGCTGGCTCCCCCAAAACACCTGGGCTGGCCTGTGTCTGGGCTTTATTAGAATTAATGATGCTTTCTGGAAGGCTGGCCAGGTGAAGGGTGGTTGAACACCAGTCTTACAACACAAAAGGACTTGAAATTTGTTTTTTAAACCAGTAGTCAAGGGGAATTCTAGGTTTACCGCCATGCAAAGGCGATTAGCAGACAACCTTGCATCCCCAGCTGGGGAGAGGTGCCTTGGTCGCCACGGAAGTGCAAAGGTCCTTTTTATGGGGTGGCATTTAAAGGCTGGAGGTGGTGCTGAGCGCCCTTGCTGCAGGGTGACTGTGTCGGCACCCCACCTCTGACCCCGGGGAGGTGCGAGGTGAGGCCCTCATAGCCCTGTGGTCCTGCCAGCTGGTTAGCATGCAAGAGCTGCTGGGCTCCTTGTGCTTATTTGCTTACCATTTGCCGTGCGCCCGGCCGAGGTCGGGTGCCGTTGATGAAAACAAGCGGGAGACAGAGCCCAGAGTTTGGCAGGCTCTGCATCGCGCTGCACGGGAGCTTGCTCCAGCGCCTGAGAGGAGGAAAGGAAGCAATTCTCAGCCCGAATGGTGTTAACAAATAAGAAAGACGCTCCGATAACTTTTTTAAGTAGCCCTGCTGTCCTGCCGGAGTCTAAATAAACTGACACCCCTTTGGCTTCCCCCCTCCTTCCTTCCCCTGGCAGTGCAGGGGGAGTTTTACAAAGCTGCTGTGTTGAAAAGCAAAAGGAAAAGGCGGCCCTGCTGCCAGCTCCCTGGTGCGCCTTGGCAGCCCTCTCTGCCTGAGGTGTTTTGGTTTTATTTTATTTTTTGGGGTGGTTTTTCCTTTGTGTGTGCCATTTTTTAGAAGAAGGTGCCAGGGTTACGTGCTCAGTCCAGGGTGGCTCTCAAGGAGGGAGCAGTGGCTGCTGCATGGACCACACGTACAAACGGGTGCCCATCCTGCAAGAGAAAGGGTCCCCACATGTTTCATGGCAGCATCTGCCAACTGAAGTGGTGGAGGAGGCCACAGGCAGCACCTGGGGACCTCACCCGGTTACTAAAACACAGGGCTGGTGAGATGAAAGCTTTTCCGTGCTGCAAACTTGTCCTGAAACTGTGGGGTGGCCAATGGCGAGGGGATGCTCGCAGGAGAGGGCTTCTTTGTTAGGGAGTGGAGTGGTAGGACGAGGGGTAATGGTTTTAAGCTGAAAGAGTGAAGGTTTAGATTAGATATTTGGAAGAAAGTATTTGCTGCAGGGGTGGTGAGACATTGGAACAGGTTGCTCAGAGAAGTTGTGGATGCCCAGTCCATGGAGGTGTTCAGGCCAGGTTGGATGGGGCTTTGAGCAACCGGGGCTAGTGGGAGGTGTCCCTGCCCGTGGCAGGGGGTTTGAAACAAGGTGATCTTTAATGTCCTTTCCAACCGAAACCATTCTATGATTCTGTGCCCTGTGAGAGGGAGCAGTAGCCGTACCCATTACTGGGTGGTTTTGATGGTGTGGTGGGTAGTCCCAGCTCACCCTTCAGCCCACAGCGGGGCTGGGCTGGGCACATGGTGGGATGGAGCTGCTCCTCCATCCCACTCTCAGTAGTCAGCTGGGCAGTTGCTCTCCTGAATTACCCCAATCTGATAGCAGAGCTCAGTGCATGGGATTGAACTGACCACCACTGCAAAGAGTCCCTGGAGAGGCCGAAGGAAGCCAGAGAGCTATTTTAAAATGTATTTAAACATAACCAAGGAGAAATTGGCTTGCTTGGAGAAGGATCACCCAGCTTATTAGCTAACACAGCCCATGGCAGCCTTCCAAGTCTAGAGCACCCCTGACTGCCCCACCAGAGAGGTGTCTAATTAAACGGAAGAGCTTGCTCCTAATGCCATTTTCCAGGCACTGTGTAACTCTTTTCTCTTGCTTGTGTTGAGGGGATGTGGTGCAGTTGGGGTGCAAATGGGATGAAGGGCGAGAGCAGAGGGAAGGTGGAAGTGAAAGTCTGTCTCAACGGTGATCCGTTGGGGAGTGGTGGAGTTGAGTATTTTCTTGTGCAACACTAGAAAATCTGTCTGCTGTCCCTTGGCATCTGCAAAGTGTGTACAAAGATATTTGGCTTTGCTGATGAGAGGTGACAGAGGACAGAGGTGGCAGCTCTCTGTGGCTGCTCTGCTGAGCAGCTCATGACCCTCCCGGTGTGCGGAGGGAGGTGGCTGGGTACCGCTGTTCTTGGGTTTAAAGGAGAATGGAAGAGCTGGTGGTTTGTGCGGCGCACGGCTCTGAAGCACGGGTTTGAGATAACTCTCTGGACTAAGAAAGCAGCTCGCAGGTTGCTGTAGGTGCAGGCTTGGGCTGAGCTGCTGAAATGCCAGTAGTGATAGCGGCTGGTGGGGCTGCAGAGCACGGGGTTTGCTTTGGTTATTGGTCTCCCTGGGAATGGCAGAGAGCCTTACGAGCAGCAAGGATGTGATGCTGGCCTGGTGTCTTCTTCCACTGATTCTGGGTTCAGTATCCTAGAACGACAGGCAAGATATTTCCACACACGTTTGACCCCGCAGCTATTTAGTGCCTGTCCTTGAAGGGAGAGGTTTTCTTAGTCGGCTCGGTACCTGGACCTGAGTTTTCTTGCTGATGGTGCTCTGGGATGTTTCTCTGGGATCTCTGTCAAGAGAACGCAGTCCTGCCATCACCTACGAAACTTCTTCTGAAGTCTGTATGCAGAAGGTTACTTAAGCAGGTCGGAGCATCGCTGGTGGCTGGAGAAGGGATTGCTCTGTTTTCCTGTGGTGATTCTTCTATCCACCACTGTAATGCTTATCTCCTGCAAGAACATTAACCAACGTACAAAGCCTTGAGAAACACTTTGATGTTGTACTGTGCAAGTGCCTTTCACCGTGTTATTAAAAAGGGAAAGCATTTGTATTACGGTTGTAGTTAAATGCTTATGCATGGGGCCAAATTAATTTTAAAGCAATATCTGAAATTGTTTTCCTCTCCGCCGAGGGTGATTAAACCCTGCTGGTAGATATCAACGTATGGTGATACCCGCAGCAGGGATCAGCAGCGTGTGGGCTCGGTGCTCCCTGTCGGAGGACCCAGGGCCTGGATTTTGATACTGGATTCCTCCTCTCCTCCCATCCATCAAGCTTTATTTGGCCTCTGGCGTGCTGCTCCTCTGGGAGTGTTCCTCTGGAGCTTGTTTTGAAAAGCCCTGCAGTGTTGTGGGGTTGGTAACTATAGGCACCGGAGGAGAATTTCGCCCCAGCCGGCGGCTCTATTAATAGCGGCTGCTGGAAGGTGGCGGCGGCTGCGCTGCTGGGAGCGGGGCAGGGGCTGCAGGCTGCCTTCCTCCTCCTCCTCCTCCTCCTCCTCCTGCCTGCAGAGCATGGGGCTCTTCCTAAATGCCCTGCCAGCAATTCCTGGGAAGAGCTTGCCTGCAGACTTTCAGCCTGAGCTTTGGGGAAAGACCTTGCCTGCGCTTTCCAAGAAGAGTCCTGTCTGTCGCTGCGGTTTGCGAGCGCCTGGGCTGAGCTTGGCTTTTATTGAGTTCAGAAAAGCTTTTGCAGCGTGTGGCTGTCAACCTGCAACCGCGTTTGGCTGATTTCAGTCACTTCCCCTACCTGCACCCTTCCCCAAAAAGTCTTGCTGGGGGGGAGGGGGAGGAAGATGGATCCTGATGTGTTGGTGCTCTGGGACGTCCCACAGTGCACCCCAAGGAGCAGCACAGGGGCTATCTGCAACGCTTCTCACCTTAAAATTTTAAGTGAATTTTTGGCGCTAAGTCCTGCCATGGTAACATGAAGACCGTTGCAGCATCAGATCAAGTTCCCAGGTTTGTGGGCTGCTGTGCAGCTCTCAGCCCCCTGCTGCACCCCAAGCCCTTTCAGCGCTTCCGTGAGGTGCATTTATTTGCAGCAGAAAAGAAGTTCAACTTCTGCTTTCCAGGAAGCAAGGTGCAGGGTACGGGCAGACTCAGTGCTGGCTGTATGTGTGTGTCTGCCACCAACGGTCACGTCCTCCTCTCCTGCCCACCTCAGTCCTTGTGCCGAATCTGTAGGGTCCCAGCATGCATCTGGCAGGGGCTTGTATTTCCCTTCCAAAGGTAATTTCCATCAAGTTACAGTTTTCTATCTCCTTGCTTTTTTCCCCACGCATGCTAAGTGCAGTGACAAAGTGACATTTCATTATTTATGCTCCACATAATGGAGAACATGGTACCTGCTGCTCCACCTGGAGACCAACAAATGACCTGGGAGGGAAGCATTTGACCCCAAATTAGCAGTTCATTCTTTGGCTGTGCGAGGGGCTTCTTGCGTGGCAAGATGCTTCAGCCTTGGCAAGCCAATTCATCCATCTGTACCCTGGCTACCCACACCTAAAAGTTTTGCTGCATCTCAAGCTGCTTTGCAGATCATGCTGGAGACGGGCAGTGGGGAGCCCCAGCTGGGCTCCCTGAGCGGGGTCTGGGTGCTGTCCCCACAAAGGGCACAGCTTCCAGGCAGTGGAAGGGAAGCCTCAAGCCTGCACAGAGTGAAAACATGTTAAAAATCTCTAATCGTGTACCTGAATCATAAAACGACTAGAATCCGTTCCGCTTTCTTGGCAGCATCTTGCTTCTTGTTAATAACTGTGGTATTTCACCAGCACCGTGGCAGGGGCTTCACCGGTGGCGTTTTTGCAGCGAGGCAGGAACTCCTCTTGGCTGTGGGGTTCCTGCAGGGTGGGAAGCAGTGTCCCAGCAGCAGGACTGGCCGTGGCCACGGGAAGCGGCGCTGCTAAAAATACAGCATTGTGAAACTGCTGGCACCTCCACTTTCCTCCTCTGCCGGCTTGAGCTGCAGGATGTCTGCTTCATGCCTGGCAAGCCACCCTATAGCCAGAGCTGCTTCCTCTTCTTCCTCCTCCTCCTCGGGAAGCCTGTTTTGGTGAGGTGTGTAGAGAAGGGAGCAGGATGAAAAGGACTCGGGGCAGCTGAAGAGAGCAGGGGGTGATGCACATCCAGGAGTACCTGAGTGTCTGGGGAGCAGACCCCTTGTCTATGGGGTGCCCCATGTTAAAAAGGAGAAGGGGGCCATACCTTGCACCCCTAAATCATGGGAGTTTCTCAGGGAGGGGTGACTGAGCTGTGGAAGAGGGACTTGTTCCCTTGCCCCACAGCTGGATCTGGGAAATTTTTAGGGCACAATCCAGGAGGGACTCTCCATTATGTGCAAAGTGGACGGGGCAGCAAACTGGGCTGCCCACCATTATCATGGTGCTCACAGGGTGATAGCTCATCATGTGGGGTGCCATCCTGTCACCCCTCGGAGGGCTGGGGGGCTGCTTTTGTCCTCCCCTGGGCAGCATCCAGTGGGGGCTTTGTCTGGCCGTGCCAAGTGGGAATGGCGTCCCTGCGAAAAGCAAGCCTTGGGCAGGCAGGATCCAGCTGGAAAAGTCTGGCTGTCTGTGGAAGAAGCAATAAATCTCTGGAAGCTGGAAAATAGCAGTCAAGAGGAAACGCCGGATCCCGCTGCGCCACCTCTGCTGTGCCGGCAAGCTGCTCGGGGTGCCGTCGCCAGGGCCAGCCCTGGGATGCAGCAGAGATCCCGTGCCCTCAACGGGGTACCCTTCTGGGCTCATGATGGATTTTTGGAGGGGCAGGAAAGGTGGAGGAGGTGTTACTTTCATTGAGGGCTTGTTTTCTGTTGGGGTTTAGGGGATATGTCTGTGGGATTTTAATTATTTATTATTTTTTTTTAACAAAGGCATACAAAAGTGCAGGTTGGGGAAAGCAGCAGAATGAGAGCTTAAATCACTCCAGAGCAAAGGAAAGTGCAAGGCTGTAAAAGTAGGTGGTGGAAAAAGGGATATTTAATGTGTGAGGATACGCAGCCCGGAGACCACCGTGATGCTGCCATCAGTGGTTGGAGCTCTTCTGGCTCTTGTCTCAGCAAAGAGCAGCGACTTTAGGATGGGGAGGGAAGAAAATACCGAGTTTATTTCTGGAACAAGTTGTTGTGTTAAAAGTGAGATTATCCCAAGCAAGGTGCAGTGAAAGGCAGGGTTACTGTGGCAAACTGGTGAGGTTTTCTCCCTCTTGTTGTCTTTCCTTAGGGAAGAAAGATGTCTTTATTTTGTTCTGTGCTTCTTGGTGGTGGAAGGGTGTATGGTTTTCATGGAAAAAGTTACTCATCGTAGCCTAAGCCCTGTTTTCATTAGTAAGTGAACATTGCTTTCTCTTAGGAAATCCAGCTGCTGCTGGATTAAAACTTCCATTCAGAGGTCCTCTGTTAAAAAAACAAATGGAGTCAGGCAGTGTGGGAGGGACAGACGGACATGGGGTGTTCCTGGGGCACACTCGGGCTGAAAAGGAACATCTGAAGAGGGTTCAGCTGGCTGCTGTAGGCAGACCTCACTGCTGAGGTGGGTTTGAGGCTCTGTCCCTTCAGCTGATGCTCCTGAAAGTTTAAGCAATATTTTGAGGATAGCCTGCAGCCTGCTGTTGCTTCTGTGTTGGGCGTTTTGGGGCACATTTGATTGGAAAGCAGCTGCTGCTCCTGGCAGGGGTGTCACCCAGCCTTGCTGCGGGTGGCAGGGGATGCTGGGGTGGTACTGCTGGGTGCGGAGGGCAGCGTGCCGGAGCAGAGCAATGTTTCCTGGCAGAGGAAATCCAAACCAAAAAGGGCTGCAGTTTTTTCTTCACCTCTCCCAGCCAGAACAGAAACCACAGTCTTCCTCGGGGTCTCTTCTGCGCTGGGAGCCACCAAGAGACTTTTGCTTTAAGAGTAGCACTGATTAATTTGGGGACATTCTTCTTCTCCCGAGAGGATAAACACAGGCTTCACTATGTCCTCAGACAATGAACGAGCCATGCCAGGTTGGATTTGGGTAACTTTCTGCAAAGCCACGAGATGCCTTATTTGGAGCTGGATTTGAGCGTGGACCAGCTTTTGTGACTTTTCTCCTTAGGGAGCGTTTGGAGAAGCTTGGGCTGTCCCAAGTGTGAGGGGGGTGAGGGACTGTGCTGGTGGGGAAGTTGCATTGGTTGCTGTGGGAGAAGTGTTAAAAGCTGATTATATTTGGTGGCAAATTGGGGAAAGGCTTGTAAAATCTTTCCTCCCTCTCCAGGGTGGGGATTTTCTCCCTCCGGTAAGTGGAAAAGACCCAAAGCCAGCTTGCCCTGTGAGTTTTACATAAATTGTGTAGTTTTGCCCCAGCTTTGATGGCACTCCTGTAAAAACCTTCTGGCTGGGATTTGCAGAACTGAGCAAGGAGGAAAGCCACCATATGACCTATCGAGGGACAAAGCCAGGCTTCCACCGACGTCCTGTCTGGCAGCTCCCAGTCCTCACACATTCACCAAGGCTCTGCTGCACTTGCACAGCTGGAGACTTTGCACTTTTACTGAACAAATACTCCTTTTTCTTTTTTTTTTTTTTTTTTTTTTTTTCGTATGTGGCTTTCATGATGGCTCTTATGCTTGTACCTGACCTGACTTGGACCCATTTGAAAACAAGTGGTGTTTCCACTTCTGTACTCTTTGGTAGTTATCTTCCCTTTTTAAGGTGAATGGCTCAAGGATTTAAGACACTCAAAATTAAATCAGCATTTGAACAGGTGTTTCCAGCCTTTCATAGAAGTGATACTGACTTCTTGAGGATTGGGTTGGGGTTTTTTGCATGTGTGTGTGTGTTTATTTATATTTTTCCCTCTCTCATGGTTTTAAATGGAAAGGGGGGTGTCATGGAGAACATAGGAATCCTGCTGGAAATGTTCTGGCTTGAGTTCCTCTCAGTGATGCTGTCCCCAATCTGACTCCCGTCCTCCACTGTTGTTCCCTACCCCTCTCTGGAAGAGAAAATGGTGAGAAAGTCAGTCATAAAACTTCCCGTTATTTGGGCATAAGTATTCTAGTGGTAAGATGGCTTGATGCTCCATAGGCAGAACACCTCCTCCTGTGTTTGAAGCCTGTTTTTGTCCTTGCCCTGGGGGCTCTGTCACCCATGTCTTCCTGCACACGTGTGTGTGTGTAAGTGCTCTGCTCTTCTGCTGGACAATGGTGTGGCCAAGGTGGTGGTTTCAGCCTCATTGGCTCACAGAACCTGTTCAGCTCCATCCAGCATCTTCATGGTAGCCTCCAAAAGCAGTGTGGTTGTGCTGTGGCCTGAACTGAGGCTTTTCTTTGCTTCAGTCTCTGCATTAGGAAAGCTGTATGCGCCAGAGGAGCAGGAGAGCGGGGTCCCAGCTCATAGCCTGCCCATGGGCACCTGCGTTATGGTTTCTCTTTTTCATCACTTTGTGAAATTAAGCAGGCAGTGAACCGAGCAGTGAAAGTGATGGCCACGGGGGTTCCTGTGCTCGTGGGACATCTGGGAAGATGACTAAATATTAATCAAAGCAATGCTGCGAGGGCAGCTGGTGTGAATCCTTGTCTGTCCCCTCCTGATGCTGGACATCCCTGAGACCCATGAGGAAGGGAGTAATGGCATATAACGCAGAGATGCTGCTGGAAATGTTACCACATCCCATTGAGTTCCTTAGTCATCTGTGTGCTCCTAAACACTGCTAAATGTCAAATGTGGACATCATGAAGAGTGTGTTTGGGAGGGGCTGGAGCTGGTTTGGATCCGCTGCAAGTTGGGGCAGCAGCAGTTCAAAGCCACGATGTCTCTGCTCTTGCTCTGTGCCACTAGCAGTTTTACTGCTTTTTGGTGTTGTGTTGGTTGGACAGGTCTCCCCTGAGGCAGAGCAGACTTTGGGGATGCAGAAAGCTCTGACCCACTAGATCTGCTCAGACTGGAAGCCTAACCCTGGATAGGAAGTAATGTACGTGTGAGACTGGGGCAGAGGGAAGAACTGGTGGTCTCCTCGCTTTCTGAGCCACAGTCTCCCTGTCTTTCCCTACCAAGTTCTCAGCAGATCAAACAAAACCCAGTTTGTACATCACAGAAATGAAATGGGGTGATAACAGCCCATTGGGAAAAGGGCATAATTGGGGATGATCCTAACTTCTGTTGAAAAGCTCTCCTAAAAGCCTCAGTCGCACATCTTGTGCTTCTTGGGTAAGGCTGAGCCTTCCATTGTAGCGGAGCAGTAAAATAGCTCTTAGGGAAGAAATCAGCTGCAGGAACTGGAAGGGGCTTGGCACATCCCCAGGATGAGGGGTCTTCTCATAAAGCAAGGAAGATCGTGTGGCTCGTAGTATGGGGCGCAAAGCACGTTGCAAGGGTGGAAGGATGGTTAGGAAGGACGTTCTTGTACACGAAAGGAGTAAATAAGAATTTGGAGAAAGATGGGGAGCAAGCCTTCTGCTCCTGCCTGAAAACTGGCACTTTGGGTCCAGCACAGTGTGTAACGTCTGCGTCCCTCTGCTTTCTCCCCAGCTGGCCGGAGGCATCATCCTGGGAGTGGCCCTGTGGCTCCGGCATGACTCGCAGACAACAAATATCCTCTACCTGCAGCTGGGGGACAAGCAGGCCCCCAACACCTTCTATGTTGGTAAGTAGGTCTGGGGGATGCTGGTGTCGCTCCGTGGCTGTCACACCTCAGGGTGGGCTGCAGCGTGCCCAGAAGCAAGGGGGGGAAAGCTCTGGGTGCGCTGCAAGGAGGTTGGACTAAAAATACCTCCTGTTCCCTGAGTACTCCCCAAAATATCCCTTGCCAAGTCAATCAAAGCCTTCATTAAATGTCAGCTGTGGCCCAAGCACAGAATCCAAAGTCGTGGCAGCTAAAAGCACAAAAAGACGTGTTGCAGTGTAACAGATTTTCTCCAGTGCTGCTCTCTGCTGCAGTCTCGCTCGGAGCATGTTTGGGAAGAGGGGGGACTTCTTCTATGCATGTCTCCTTTCCTATCCAAAGGGATGGAAAAGTAGCCGGCGGAGCGGCTGGCAGTGGAAAGTGAAGCTTGTCGAGCTCGTGACTCATGTTCTCCAGGAGGGGCAGGCAGAATCTCTGTGTGTGACGCTTAAGCTTAGCATGATTTTTATTAAATTGACAGCATGCTGGCTTGCTGGAAGATGAAAACCCCACTTTTTGTCCTATTCTCTAGTGATCCCTTGCAGGCGAGGGGGAGCAGCGCGCAGGAGGGGTTGGCTGCCAGGCAGGGGCTGGCTCAGGGTGCAAGCATCTAATCCAATGTCCTGTTCTCCCATATCTGCAGTTACCTTCTGAAAAAGGCTTTCCTTTGTTTTTTCCTGCTTGCCCATGAAGCAGCATGCCCAAGCCCTTCTCCCTGACTGTGCCTGGTTACAGTAGATGCTCCTGCTGTAAATAGCAGTGGGTTTTCCTCTCTTGCTGTCTCTCCTCTCCTCTTCTCACCTGCCTCACAGCCAGAGCTGTATTTATAATGTTTCCCCTTCATAGATTTTAAGTTTTGAGAAAAGGGAACTCTTAAGAAGTCAAACTCTTTCCTTTCTACGAACCAGCCCAAACATACCCTTCCTTCTTGGGGGCTGGCAACTGACATCTCCCTGGTTAATGCATTTCTCCCAATACCGAGGGGGACCTGGAATGCTGGGGCTGAGTCCTCCCCTCCAGCTTCATGGGCATCCTTTGCTCTTCAGCCCCGTGTTGTTTCATCTTTGTCCTCAGCCTTTGCTTTGTAGGAAGCAGTGGGGAGCAGACCACAGGTCCTGCCGCTGCCCTGACTTTCCGATGTCTATGAACAGCCCATGATTTGAGGCTGGCTGTCTTTTTAAAGTTATATTCAGCAACAGATCAGCCTGGATTCCTTCTGGCAGCTGTAATTTCCATGCAGTAATAACAGCAGAGCATTTCTTTCAGCTGCTGCCTCTCCTAGCCAGCCCTCTGGAGTCTGAAGGCTGGGATTTCTTTTTGCTTTTTCTTTTTTTCCCTTCCCCCCCCTAAATGATACTCCTTCCTTTTTCTCTTCTGGCATCCAACATACACATGCACACAATGTTCCTGCTTCGGGAGCAGGAACCTCTCTGGGATTGGGGTTGGCCTCCAGAGTTGGAGGTTGTTTTTTTCCCCTTGCAAACTGCTTTTTGATGTCTGGTGTGGGGCGTTGCTCCCAAGAACTGTCAAGAGGCTTTTAAAGGCCAGGCAGGCTCTGCCATGTTGCTGCAGGACAGGGGGAAGCAATAAAAACTGTCAGAGGAGGAAAACTTGGGCCGTGGGGTTTGTACTTGGTGATGAGGAGGAATGGGAAAGTGGTGCTTCGATGTCTCCTGATTTCTCTCTGTGTCCTTTCCCCTGCCCCAGAGTTGAAGCTGTTTTGTTAACAGCTGTGTCTGTGTGTGTTACTGGGATTGGATGGCGATGGTGAAGTGGGAGAGGGAAGGTGTGGGGAGCAGGGCAGCCACTGAGGTGCCAGGTGTGATGCTTATCTGCCTTCAGCCTGTTGCAGGGCTTAATCTCTCCCCAGAAATTAGGCAGGTTTGCACCGTGGCAAGCTCAGGTCTCTTGATTGCAGCTCTCGTCAGCAGATCAGGCTTCCCTCGGGCCCTCTTTCCCCTGCCCCAGAGTTGAAGCTGTTTTATTAATGTGTGTGTTACTGGGATTGGATGGCGATGGTGAAGTGGGAGAAGGAAGATGTGGGGAGCAGGGCAGCCACTGGGGTGCCAGGTGTGATGCTTATCTGCCTTCAGCCTGTCGCAGGGCTTAATCTCTCCCCAGAAATTAGGCAGGTTTGCACCGTGGCAAGCTCAGGTCTCTTGATTGCAGCTCTCGTCAGCAGATCAGGCTTCCCTCGGGCCCTGCTGCAGAGTTTGCGGCCGGTGATTTTCACAGATTGATTTTCACAGAGGGGCTTGTGATGCTTGGGAAGGAAAGGGTCCAGCAGTGCAAGGGAGCAGGAGGAGAGGAGAGCCTTTGCTCTGAGCATCCCCTGCAGCCGGATGGCCACAGGCAGCTGCTCTTGCAGCCCCCCCGGGCACAGGCGATTGTTCCCCCACTGGCTCATCCAGCCCACGAGGAGGGAGCTCCTGGGGTTGGGGTTTCCCACAAGCAGTCCCCCCCAGCTATTTGGCACTGCATCCATCAGACTGTCCTCTGGGCTGGCTTGAGAGGGTATTAAACAAGCTTGTGTTTTGTGGACTTTTCCTCAGCACGGCTCGCAAACCATCTGATCCCCTAACCACTTGTTGCAGTCTTGGCTTCTGGCACTTCCATTTTGGCTGTGGACCCAGCGCCCCAGCAAACGGCAGGTTAACCACTTCACTGCTGGAGAGACCAAGCGGTACCAGGGATGGGGAAAGCTGGAGCACTGCCGTCTTGTGATTTTGTGACTGTAAAGGAAAATGCTTGCTCTTCAACTGAGCTAGGCTTATGGTTTTAATATGCATTTATTTGTTTTAGTTGTAGTCGAAAAACTAAAATCCTTCCTGCCTGTGTATAAGGCTGTGTCTGAAGTGCCCTGCATGTCTGGCTGCTGCGAACAAAATACTTTCAGCAGAGTGGGGTCAAAAGCCTCAGTCAGCTCTTGTTTGCATTAAATCCCTACCCCTGAATTTCACATTTCCCCCCTTGCTGGGCCGCCGGGGTGCTGGGAACATCCTGGGTGCTCAGCCCCACTGCCCACCCTTCCCGTGCTTTCCCTGGAGCTGCCTGGCGCGGGGCGGATGGTCTGGGTTTCTCTCTCGCCCGCCAGATCCAAAATAGGAAATCTGCTCCAGCTGCTCACAGCAAGTGACAGGGCGACGCGACCCACAGCTCTAATTAGCTCGGCCCTGGGAGTGGGGCCAGCCCAGAGGAGGAGTGTAAAGGCATCCAGAGCTGGGGAGCGGTTTTCCGTGTAGCTCGGGGGGTGAGGAAGGGGTTGGTTTTGCTTCTGCTTAGTTTTTTTCGTGATCTATTAGTAAATCTTCTGCTGGCCAGTGTCTCCCCTCCGGAGCACAGCGGCACTGGCACCCCTTGGGAGGGGTGTAAGGTTTGGGACAGGCATGCACTGGTTGGTTAAACTTGGCCACCGGGGCTACTGCTGCTGCTCCTGCCGTCCTGCTGGGTACCACTGCCCCGACAGAAAGGCAACAGGGTTTTTTTTTTTTAGTTTTGGGTTTTTTTACCCTAGCAACCAGGCTGGTGACTGTGGATCTGGCTCCCAAGCAGGTCAGGTGGCAAAGCCTGTAGGAAACAAGGAGGGGACATCTGGGGGCAGCAATGGCTTCAGGCTAATTTTAAGGCGATAAGCGTGCCTGCGAAGCAGCGTGCTGTGGTAGCGCTGGCTCTCTAACGAGGTGAATCACAGACTCTCTTCACTGTCCTGCTCCGTGCAAATACAATCCAAGACCATGATTTCTGCCCTGAAAATAAGTTCAAGCTGCTTTTCACGCAGGCTGGGCTTGAAGAAATGGACCAGAAAGCATAGGGATGCTTTGAAGTCCTGCTCACAAATGAGTACACATATGAGTTGAACTGCAATTGCATCTGCATATTTATCCTTGAAGTCAGCATGATGTCCATCACTGGCAATTTTTTGTGGGTGTCCTCAGTTGTTTTGTTTTTTTTTTTGTTTTGCTTTTGGAAGTACTATCGTAAGGCTTTGCTGGCCTCAGGGCGGGTCTGACCCTCGTGGGGCAAAGGGGATGCCGAGCGGCAGTGCGTATGTGGGTAGGGATCGGGATGCCTGCCTGAGCTTCCCCAGGGCTGGCTCACTCTGAGGACGCTCTGGCCACTCTTGCCATGGGTCTCAGGTGTGACCAGCAGTGCAGAACATCCCGGCACATCCAAACAGAATTGTATTGGCTGAGCAGTCATGGAGGAGCTGTCCCTTCCATATGTAACAGCACCTTTTTTCTCAATTGGCCTTCTCAGGATTGTCTTGGACAAAAAGCAGTTGATGTTCAGTGATGAACAAAAAGCAAGGTTTCAGAGGTGTGGGTTTTGTTCCAAAGGGGTTTGCACTGAGCTCTAGTGTGTTGCAAAGGCTCTGGCAGCCAGTAGTGCTACAGTGAGTGCAGATCTGCCATGAGAATTGGGGAGCTCTTGGTTTCTCTTCGTGGTCCCATCCTTGTCCCCATCCCTCCAGAAATACTAGGCACCATTTAAAGGTGGTGCCCATTTCTGTATATTGTGGGGTTAGACTCAACAGCAAATCTTTTGCTAAATTTGTAGTGGAAGGGCTAGAGAAGAGTTGAAGAGTCCTGGTCTCTGGGTCCTGTAATAAACACTCATGAAAAACCTCCTTCTCTTCTCCTCTCTGCTGTCAGATCGTGTCCTTCAATAATAGTGGAATTCTTTTTAAAATAGTAGTTTTGAGGTAAAACACTTTGCCAGTACTTCCTTCAGGTATCTGGCTTCTACTATATAGCTGATAATACAAACAATCCTTTTTTTCTTATCATAGAATTCAATTCCTATTAAAAAACCAACTTGTATGGAATTGTAATTCAGTCTGCCGACAGCGTGACCCACTCCTGCAATTCATTTTCTCTGCTGACTAAAATTGGTTATGACTTAAGGCCATAAATTGGTGCCATTGGGTTATTTTGGGTTCAGATCTATCTGACAACAAATAACATAGTTGTCCTCTTACTTTG